TTTTACAGAGCACTTCTTTCTCTTATGGGATGCATTTTTACTTCTACAACCGTGCCAAATCAAAATTGAACTGACATGCCGTAAGAAAAAGATCACTACAAAAACCCAAGTCGTAAGTCCTGCTAAGAAATCTAACCGTGACACTGGCCTTCTAGCATATAATATTTGGGTCAGGGTAATAAAATATTAACAGAGTAAACACAACACACCCACCTCCCACCCCCTCCTGGCCTCTCTTTTTCTTTTCATTTACTACCTGACAAAATTAACATTTGCAATGTGATTTTCACAGTATTGTTGTAATAATGGGACAATTTTGAGCTCCTGTAGTCTTCTCGCATAATAAGAGAGCACCTGGAGGTTTAAATTAAGACCATATTAGCTGGAAAAGTTACTTTTTGCACAACTTACCAATATTTTGGGTTGTCAAGCCACCATCTTGTTTGGGGACAAGTCGAATGACATAATGATGGGGTGAGTATATGATCATGAATTTATCTACTTTCTGTTTAGATGGAGTAAAAAGCTTAAATAATAAACATTAAATATAAAGTTAATTTTAACACTTAATTTACGAACTATTGTTAATTCTTTAAGACAGATGACTGATTTGAAGGATATTAACATGATACTCACCCCTTTTAAATGGTACAGTCTGAGTTGCTTTATCGGTAAAAGGTCAGCGACCTTTAGACCGTACCACTGAAACCTCGGGGGCGTTTCTTCAGAAACATGCTGCTCTTCAAAAAGTGATGATTCTCTGATTCAACAGTTTCGTTAAATAAAAACCTTTCAATCTAACATTTGAATTACTAAAATTCGCACCCTATCTTGAATTTCTTTTTTTTTCTTTGTGATATTGACAAATAGCTATTTACCCCATAGTAGAATATTCCACTATTGTAGAAGGAGGAAGTAAGTTAACTTGTTTCCAACCAGGCTACAAGTTATATAGTTTATATAAGTATGGACAAACTGCTAGCCTGCCGTTTTCGGCACCCGGACGCTGCCGTACGGCTGGTGTGTTTCCCCTGGGCAGGTGGAGGGTCCGGGTACTACAACAACTGGGGAAAACTCATGCCCAACACTGTGGAAGGTATTTACGTTTACTCGTACTACTCTCTAGTACTCATATATCATATTTAGATATTTACTTTAAAACATAAATGATCATGAAAGCCAATCTATGATGAAAAGCATAACCATCATATAGAATTAATCTTTGTTTGTAATCTTTTAAAAATCAAAAGTACTTTTTTTTAAATAGCTCATCCTCAACAAATGGTACATAGACAGATAATAACTTGCTATGTCATCGCTATGTCATTTTTTCATTACCTTAATTACCATCGTTTAATCTCAAGTTATTACCAAGAAGCTTAATAAAATATATCTTTGCTGTCATCAAAGTCCCCGATGATATTGAAGCCAAATTTCTGACTTACCTTAAGATTTAACTTTTAGTAATGTTGCCACAAGACAAAGGCAAGTGAAGGTGATCACTTGTTTCTTTGTTTGTTTGTTTAGCCAGTTCACACCTGTTGTTGTTTCCTTGTTTACATCCAGTGTGCTCACTCCGCCTCCCGGGAAGAGAAATGCGACTAAAGGAGGCGTGTCACAAAAACATGGAGGCTCTCACTAACGACATCTCATCAACTCTGCTGCCGAAACTTAAGGAAAAACCTTTCGCTTTCTTTGGACACAGGTAAATTTTGTATCACTCACTCACTCACTCACTCACTCACTCACTCACTCACTCACTCACTCACTCACTCACTCACTCACTCACTCACTCACTCACTCACTCACTCACTCACC